TTTGAGTTTCTTTAAAGAAAAAGAGGTTTGTTCTTCCTCTGAAGTGATAAAATGAATTTCTTAATTGTATTTCTCATTAAGAATATGGTTAATAAGTACTAAGCCCTGGCTCATTGAAAGAAGTTGTATATATGGCAATAAAATTTATTAATTAATTTGTTTGTTTGACAAGTTTGGAGAAACAATTGTAATCCTACTTTCTGATAAGAGTAAGAATTTTTAGATAAGAATAATTAAGTCATAAAGCAAGCATGTAAGATTTAGTATAATCGCTAAATAAATCTCAACAAAAATAAATTCTGATGATGTCATTTCCCTTCTTAGTACATGATATATTCTTTAAGTAATATGCTCTAAATTGATATTCAGTGTTTTCATAAATGATTTCCCAGTTACTCAGAAACACAAGAAAATGAATGACGTTATATCTATAGTCATTTACAACATACTGTCCAGACCAGATCACCTTGAACTGCTCTTGTTAGAATAGTTGATAGGAGAAAAAATGGAAATCCTAATATGTACTCTACCACTCCAAAATTGACCCTATCCACTACTTCCTTATTTTTTATTCTTACCTTTACTTTTACCTTATGTATACCTGCTGTACTTATTGTGGCAGAGAATTATGAAGAATTAACAAAATACAGTAACCAGGGAAGTAAAATAACTCACCTTCGGCAAGCTCACTGGTAATTTGCAAACTGGCAACTGATATTGGTTTTCATGAAGTATAAGAGACTGATCCAAGTTAGGGGCAATCTTTTCTTTAAGTACTTTATAAACTTCAATAGTGCCCTTGTAATGAGGGCAGCTATAGTTTCCAAATTCATCCACCTCTTTGAGTTGGAGTTCCAGTCTGGGTTGTCTTTGTAAGTGAAAAATAAGCTGGTAGTCTTTTCCAAAGTCCTTCCCATTGCCTAAATAGAGGCAAAATGTATATGTCATTATAAGATACACCATTTTCTCTTAGCTATTTTTTAAAAATACAAATAATAATTTCATTTTTTAATACGGCTAAATCTTTCTTGTGTTTTAATACAGCTAATTGCTTCTTCTCAAAACATGACTTGACAAAGCAGCAATAGGCTGAGACCATGTAGATTGCTAAAAAGATTTCTCATCTGTAATTGGACCGGGTGTTCTCTGTCTGTTTCTAGATATATTTTTTAAATCTCTTTTTCTATTCTATTTTGCAGTAACAAGAAACTAGTGGAAATTTTCAGTTCTTTCAAAATTTAGAATATATTGAAGAAGAAAATTATTTTTGCCTTTCAAGAGTTATCTTTTTCCTTTTCCCTAACTATTCATATCATATTGAACGCTTTCATGACCTCACAATAGGCATTCTAAAACTGCACTCTGCAATATGGTAGCCACTAGCAACATATGCGTGTTTAAATTTAAAATAATTAAAATTAAATTAAATTAAAACTTAATTTGTCAGTCACTCTAGCCACATTTCAAATACTCAATAGCCACTTATGGTTAGTGGCTACCTTACTGGATAGAGCAAATACAGAACATTTCCACCGTCACAGAAATGGTTACTGCTATTCTAGAAATTACAAGAGAAACAATTACTGGATTCATATAACTGAAATTTCTATGTAAACCTGGTGGAGTCTCCCAAAACAGTGATAGGTAAATGTCTTCTTAATTCCCCACTGAAAACACTGGGGCTTTGGTGAGCATGGAACCTTTCTTTCATGGGAGTTTTACCATGACAGTTAAAATAATCTCTGATGACTCTATTTAAAATTGCCACTCTGCCACTTGCTTTGAGACTTTCCATATTTTTTACCTGCTTTATTCTTCTCTCTTTGTACTTTTCACCATCTATTAAGCTAATTAGCTTGCCATTGCAATAGTAAAATGGACACTGCCTTGTTTCCTAAGTCAGTATATGTCTGCATTACCCTTCACAAAATTTAAAAGGAAGTTGTAATGTTTCAGTTAAGATAACATGTTTTAGAAGTAACAGTGTAGATTCAAATCCAGCCTTTAACTACACTGTAATATTTGTCCACATCTTTCACATCTCAGAGCTTCTCTGAGTCGCAATGTTCTTATCTTTAGAATAGGAGAAATAAAACCCTTGGGATTGCTCTAGGAATGAAATGAGATAATATGGATAAAATGCTTGGCACAAGGCCTGGCACATAGTAAGTACTCAACAAATGATAGCAAGGAAGAATATTGAAGCAGAATTCTTCTATTATTTTGAATCTATATGCAAAAAAAAGTTAAATTTTTAAAAGAAATGTCAATACAGAGCTATCTCTCATGAAAAATCCTTCCCACTTTGCCCAGAGAAATAAAAATTTGCTGAGAGGTGTAGAAGATGCCATAACCCTTCTCCCTGTCTGTTAGAGGTGGGTTTAGTGGATTTCTAATGCCCAGCTAAATCTAGAAATAGAATAACTCTAGGTTACGAAGTTATAGGAGCATGTCCCTTTGGATAAGTCTATATTTGAGAGGCAACTTGGCTACTTGAACAAACTTGATTCCTAGTTTGTTCCTTGAACAAACTGGTCAGGGGTTACCTTTTCAAAAGTCTCAGTGTGATTAAAAAAAAAAAAAAGTAAAATTTAGTGGGGGAGGTCATTAAATTAGGCAAATTAGAGTTTTCATATCACAGCATTATCATTTGGCAAACTCCTACTCCCGTACCTCAAGAATACTATAAATAAAAATGTCTCTGCTTTGGTCTCAGTAGAATACTACTTAGTAAATTTTTCCTTCTATTCATTTAAAGACCTTAAACCCCTTCTATGTCCACATCTAGTCATAAGGAGAGATTTATACATAGAATGAAACGATTGACAGTGAGGTATAGCTAAACGGGACCATTTAGATCTAAAATGTATCTACATCTTATTGCCAGTAAATTTTTAAAAACAAAGATCTATGATACAAATCTCCAAGAGTCATATTTATATATGAAATAAGGAAGATACTGTTGAAGATTTACTAGTAATAAAGAGAATAATCTTATAATTATCAATATAATTTATCAATAAATTATAAGGAAATTTTCTTATAAGGTTGCATACTTATGAGTAATATTACTTACTTACAAAGAAATATATAATATTCTTAAAGTTGGAATTTTATTGTTTCCAAGACAACACTATATTTGGGAGACCCCTTGTCCCAGAAAAACATACAGCCAAGAAGGACAAGTAGGACAAAGAAATTGCATTATTCTATTTATTTTTTTCTCGTACACTGGCATATTTAGAGGAGAAGTTAAAGCAGAAGACATTTGCTGCAGATCCAAAGTATTAAATCAATTACTAATTGTCCTCCTGAGAACCTCTTTCTCCTTCACAACATATTCTGGATATAGTCCCTAACAGGGCCTTGAGATAGTGGCTGTTAAATCAGTATTGTCATATAAAGAAATCCACAATGTACTGATATTTCAAGGGTCACTAAATACTGCTTATAACAACATAAATTTTTCTGAATAATGGGCATTGGAATATTTTTCATTGACAACATAGAAGGTAAAAAGTAGGGACATATACTGCAGTGCAGTGAATTACTTAATACGGCTCTTCTAGCCGTAAGATTTGTAACTGCCATCAAATGATTTGGTGGGACTATACAAACAAGGTGCTTGTGGCTCACCAAGGGATTGCATAACTTGCTAATAATGTAAATAAGGTGCATGGCACCCTTGTGGGGGTGGGACCATGCAAATAAGGTGTATGAAACCCTAACAAGGGAATTGATCAGTTTTGTCAGCCCACTAGGCTTAAAGGGAGACAGCGAGAGGAACTGTAACATGGAAGACAGAGAGAGGCAGCAGAGGCAGCAGAACCAGGACAGAGAGGGAGAGCTGTAATGCAGAAAATGGTAAGAAGCAGCAGCAGAGAAAAGGCAGCAGCAGAACCATGAGACCAGCAGAAGACTGGCAAGAGACAGCGCAGTGGGCTTCCCAGACTACGGAGCAAGAAAGCTGTGTGCCTTCAGGTGTGAATCTTACTGGTGTACTGGGGTGCCTTTGGGCACTTATGAGCAGAGCTAAAAGAGCTTTGTAACACTTGCCCGAGCAGGGCAGAGGCTGGAATGAGGAGCTGAGAGCCCAGAGAGAGGCGTGCCTGCGGGCAGAGCTGAGAAGAGGATGTCCTGATGGAAGAACTGTATCCTTGAGTGTTCCTGGGCCTAAATTGTAACCTGTTATTTCCCTAATAAACCCCATAATTGTGAGTATTGTCTATGAGTTCTGTGTGGCCATTGCAATGAATTATTGAACCCAGCAGAGAAGTAAAGAGTGCCATGGGAGAGACGGTTGGTATCAGAATTGGTAAAAAGGTTGGAGGGTGGAGGCATGTTGATTTCTGCCTCACAGGAATCAGCCTTAGGCTATTGATCTTGATTCTCCTTCCCCCTTGTGAACTTAGAGGAGGTCAGATGCCACCGCCATGCCATTTTTACATATGCTTTTGCTTAGAAAAGCTAGATCAGGAAGTGAAAGTGCTACCAATATGAGGAACCAGAAAATTCCTGTGAGAACGATAGACTTGGAGTATTTTTGTATTCTAACCCATTCTCCACCACCTCTATGAGGCACTAACTTGGTTTATTGCAATGGCCTGTTAACTGATCTACTTACTTCTAGCACTGCCCTCGCACAGTCTATTCTCAACATAGTTGAAAACCAATTCAGATCATGTCATTCCTCTATTGAAAACCCTTCATGTCTCCCCATTTCACTTATAATAAAAGGCAAAGTCCTTGCAATGGCCTGGCAGGGCATCATCAACCCTCAGCTCATTTACTACAACACTCCTCTTATTTCCTTTGATCCAGCCATTCCAGTCTCCTTGCTGTTCCTCAAATATACCAGGCACACTTTTGCCTCAGTTCATTTGTACTTGCTAATCCCTCTGCCTGGGACAGTTTCCTGAGGTAGGATTATGGCTCGCTCTTGCACCTTGTTTGAATCATTGGTTAAATGTCACCGTCTCAAAAAAGATCTTCTCTGATGACTCTGTATAAAATTGATGGCTGAGTCTCTGTCATTCACTCTCAGATTTCCTATATCCTTTCCCTGCTGTATTCTTCTCTATTGCACTGTTCATCCTCTGTCAACTTGTACGTCTTATTTATTTGCTTATTTCTCTGTCTCCTATCACTTGAATATAATTGTAGAGAAGCAAGGAATTTTTGTTGAATGAATAAAAATTGTCATTCTAACATCTTGCACATACATCTGGAAAAATCACTTCCTAAGGTCAAAGGGTATTTAGGGCAACTCTGAGACACACAGACTGCAATAGAGCATTGCCACTTGTTACAGGTGAAGGTAAAATTTATACAAGTTTGTAAAAGTACTTCGCAGCACTTTCTGGATTTGGGGTGTACCAGGGGCTTGGATATCATACAACAGGAAGCCTAAATGCTAAACTGAGAGCTCTAACCTAGGGAGAACATTCTATCTTGTAGCCAGAAAAGTACCAAAGGCCAATAAAAAACTAAGGGGAGCACCTATCCTAACTGATTTCTCTTAGGAATAGTAAGAGGCCATATTTTGTGAATCCCACTCTCAAGAGTTATCTATATTTTATACAAAAGAATCTAGAGATTTTGGCCTTTCTCAAAGGAAAGTTGTCTAAATTCATTAATTAAACTTTTAAGTACTTTTAATCACCCTTAATACTATAATGTTAAGTCCTTTCCTTCACTCGGTCGTCATTCTTCCAACAAGTACACACTGCGCTCCTTCTAGCTACCAGACACTGTCCTAATGCTGGGATTGAGTGGTGTCCACCAAAGGAACAGATCCTCTCCTGCAGGATTGTAATAGGAGAAAATGGCATTGGTCAAACAATTAAACAAATAAATAGAAAGTTGTATCCATGGCAGACCCTGTAAAGGTATAGGAAGGACTAACATAATCAGGGAGGATAGAGACAGCTTCCCTGAACATGATCGTTGAGGTGAGATCTGAAGATACAGTAAGAGAGAACTTGGGGAAGGGAGCAGAGTGAATCCTCCAGACAGGGCTTCAGCTGCATCTCTTTGAGATTCACAGAGACTACCCTATTCTAATAGAAGGATGGGGTATCAATTTTTTACTGAGAGTCTTGTTGCTTTTAAGTGTTGAAGAATCCACTGGGGCTTCAGATCTAAGCATGAGCCTCTAGATATTACAGATTGAATTGTGTCCCCCAAAACGTGTTGATGTCCTGGCCCTTGTACCTGTGGATGTGATCCTGTGTGGAAATATACATATTTTTTGTTAAGTTTATGAGGTCTTACTAATGTACTAATCACTTCTGAGTTATAAAAAGACCACGATAAACACAGAGCCACACACTGGGAAAAGACAGATACCATGCAACAATTATCTGCAAGCCAAGGAACCAAGGATCACCCAGGGCTCCAGACCAGGATTGCTGGCAGCTACTAGAAGCTGAAATAGACAAGGAAGGATCTCACCCTACAGTCCTCCTAAACTGTTATTTAAAGCCACTCATTAGTAGTATTTGTGTTATGGCAGCACTAAGTTAATAAGGCACTAGGGAAAACAAAGCAGAAATCATCCTGGCATTCTGCCTGACTTGTGTTCGTTAAGTGAAGATGAGTTCTTTCCCACCCCTTACATGGGGAATTGCATACATGCTGGCTATCTTTAGGCGCTCTTATTTTTGCAGGCACTCCCCACTCCTCATTACAGGCAATAGTACATTTAGTACCACTGCCAATGAGAAGAACAGTAACTCACTCCTGTTTAGGGAAGTAGGTAAACACAGATGACCATCCCAAATATTACAGGAAAATCATTTGTATCAGTTTGGGTGGGTCACATCCGGTTCTTGACTGTCTTTCCTGAGAAAAATTGTCCCGTGGTGTGCACTGTGGTTTCTGCTCTGGAAGCTAAATAGGAAGACATCTCTTCGCCCTTCCTTCCTCTCCCTCCTCTCTCCCTATCCACGTTCTCAGACACCCTTGCACTCACTCACTAAATCATGTCAGCTGGCTCAGAAGAAGAAGATTCTGCATTTGGGGGTGTAAGAGGGACTTCAAATTGGGGTACTTTGTGCCCCACTTATTCCTGAGATACCAGAAAAAGGGCAGCCTTGGCTTCAAGCCTCATCATTTTTGAAGCAACAAAGAGCCAATGAATGAGGCTGGAGGTGGCCATTTCCTGAATTATAGAGAATAAAGGCATCATTCAATTCCATGGGATACACATTAATTTTTAAATGAATAGAGGCTATTACCACAAGTCTATAACTAGGCCTCCTGGATCAGAAATTCCCATAAATCCCATTTCTGAATCCCCACCTCCCCTCACATACCCCACATTTACACAGACACCTGTTAGATTCTACTCATCCTCAGGGAAAAGAGTCAGAGAGGAAGGAGCTGAGTTAATGTAAAGAAACTGCTGTGATGGCAATTCCCTCAAAGAATTTTTTCCTCTCTTCTTGCATATAGCTGTTTTCTCTCCATGTTCTGCTTTCTCTTCCTTTTCTCTTTTTCTTCATCTCTTTCTTCTTACCTCTTCTGCCACGTCCCTTCTCTCACTTCTCCCACCTCCATTCTATCTTTCATATTCCTTCATTCTGCTACTTTCCCTCAGCATTGCCTTCTATTCATTCAGTCACTGCATATTTGTTGTGAGCCTTTGATCTACCAGGCACTGTGCTAGGCTCAGGGAATACAACAAGACATACGTGGTCACTGCCCTCATGCAATTTACATGAAGAACATAAGTATATGAGCAAAAATTAAGTGAACAAATATAAGTAAAATAATTTCAAAGTGTGGTCATTTCTATAATGGAAACAAAAAGAGCACTAGATAAATATGAGGATGTGTGGAGGAGGCAAATTAAGACAAAGTTGTTAGGAAAGACTTCTCTGTCTTAAGTCAAGACTTCAAGAATGGTAGTTGAAATCATCTGTTAACAATTGTGGCAAGAAGAGCATTACAAGGAGAGGAAATAGCATCCTGTGGCCAAAAGGAACTTCGCCTACTCAAGGATTGTAAAAACAACAACAACAAAATCATATGGTCTTATTATAAGACGTGAGAGAAAGAGTGGTTTGAGATAAGTTTGGAGAATTAAATGGAAGCTAGGAAATGCAAGGCATTGTAGTCCATGATGAGAAATTTGACTTTAATTCTAAGTAAAATGAAGAATTTTTGAAGGGATTTAAGCAGGGAGAGTGACAGGATTCCCCTTAGATTTAAGAGATTCACTCTCATGACAATGCAGAAAGTGGATTGGACACAACTGGAAGAGAGGAAGCCACTTAGGAGGCTATTGCAGCAGTTTTATCCAGAGGTGAAGGTGTCCTGCCTGCGCCAGTGTTTCAGCACTGGAGAAATAGAGCAATGGACAGAGTCAAGAGGGACATGTCGGGAGGGATGAAAAGGAGAAATTAAGGATGGTTGTGTGACTGGATAGTGTTTTGTGTATCTTTTTCTTCTGCAATGGGAAAGATGGGGCTCAGAAACACAAACCGAGATTCCTTTTGTTTGTTTGTTTCCCAAGCTTCAGATACCAGTATAGTTCCTAGCTCCACCCATCACTGGCTATATATTCATCTAACTTGTAAATATTTATTGAGTGGGCTGTTCTAGAAATGGTGAATAAGGCAAATGTGATTCCTATTCTTATATAACTTGCTTTCTAGTGGGGTAAGACAGAAAAAACAAGATAAGTAAGATAAATTCCTGATAGTAATAAATGACAAGAAGGAGATCAAATGGAGTAATATAAGAGACTGTTTGAGGATTGGTAATAAGCAACTTTCGGGTGGTCTGAAGTGAGACCTGAAGAACAAGAAGAAGCCAGGAAGGCAAATACCTGGATAAAATATAATTTCAGGCAAAGGAGACAGCAAGTACAAAAGGCCTGGGCTGGGAATGAACTTGGCCTGATCAAGGAACAGAAATAAGTCCGGTGAGGCTGGAACTCAGAGAGGAAGGGGCAATATAGCACCTGAGAGGTTCAGAGGGGTAAACAGGGGTTTATCATCTAGATCAGGGGTTCTTAACCTCTTTGTGCCATGGACTCCTTTGGATCTGAAACCTGTGGATTCCTTCTTAGAGCGTTTTATAATACATAAAATATAAAATATGTAGAATTAAAAAGAAAGGAATTATACTGAAATACAGTTATATCCACATATCTCTGGGGGGTCAACTAAACCCAGGTTAAATTATTTGTGGGCCATAATAAAGAGTTTGGATATTGCTTTAAGTAGAGTAGGAAGTAATTATAAGGTTTTAATCAGGAAACTAATATAATATGATTTATGTTTTAAAAGAATTACTCTTGTTACTGTATGGAAATAGATTTTATGTGGGCAAGAGTGGAAACAATAGGGTACTTAAGAGGTGACTGAGCTGGTGTAGGAAAGAGATGATCTTAGCTTGAATTTAGTGATCACCGAAGGATAGGAATGGCTGTATCTGAAACAGTATCACTTAGAATCTGCCCATAACGGAACAAGCATCCCCTGAGTAGAGAAGGAAAAGACTGAAAAGGAAGAAGTAAATAAGTCTTTTTCTTTTCCCACTTCCTCAAGCCTCCCCTCAATCCTCTGAAGTTTTCTTTAGTAATTCAAGTTTAGCAAACTCCTTCTGAAGGTTGTGACTTGTAACCCATAGAATATACAAGGAGATTTTCTTATACTTACTTGAAGCAAATATGTTTCCAGTAAACCTTAAAAGCAGTTGTTCTCCTTCTCTTAATTGGAAACGGCAAGATGGCTCTGGAGGACCGCTGAACCCTCCCAAGTGCAAGTGCTTAAGCGCCTGGTTTAAATCTTTATGAGGCACCACTAAAATAACTGCTCTGTGTGGATTGTGTTTCTGGTGATTCAGTACCACACAAGCAGTGGTGCAGAGTGTGGCTTCCTCTAAAGATTTCACAAAAGAAACCAAGCAGCTGTTATCCACAACGGAAGAGAGGTGAAGCACAATAAACCTGTATAGGAAAAAATAGAGACTCAATGACATCCTCCACTATCTAATAATACCCAACAAAACAGCCAGTATCATCTAAACGTCCTTCAAAATCAAGCATTCTGATGGCCAAATGGTTAAATTCGTTAATGACTTTAGGGAAACTGGACAGTTACAAACCCAGCTCAAATCAAATTAAGTTGTAGAACACATGTTCTTAAAAACAGAAATCGTTTAGTTTCAGGTCAATTCTCAAATATGGTGGCATAATTTAAATTATATTTTTAATTAACATTTTGTTGTTGTTAGTTGCCAGTTGATTCTGACTCATGGTGACCTCATGTGTGCAGAGTATAATGCTCCACAGGGTTTCAAGGCTGTGACCTTTCGAAAGCAGATGGCCAGGCCTGTCTTCCAAAGAGCCTCTGAGTGGATTCAGATGGTCAAACTTCGGGCTAGTAGACAAGTGCTTAACTGTTCGCATCACCCAGGGACTCCTAATTAGCATTACCAAATAATATTACTTCAAAAGATAAACGAGAAAAATGATCCAAATAATCTATTTCCTCTCAGTAGGATACAGAATATATATTGTCATTATGTGAAGACTGAAATAGTTGTCCCTTGTCACTGTCTGGTAAGGACATCATGATGAACTCTTTTCCCTGGAATGAACCACTCCTCGGCCAATTCTTCTCCAGAGAATTTCCCTTGGCCTATGGGAGCACCCTTATCCAGGGCAGCTACACCCCCACAGCCAACAACTGAATAATGAGGAGTAGAATGGCAGCCTCCTTGGTAGCGCTACTCAAGCTCCAGAGTTTCCCTAAGGTATCAGGATGAAGTTAGACTTCAGCTGAAACCATATTTTTGCTTAATTTCTTCCCTTCCCCTATTTGCTTCCTTCATTCCCTTACAGGATTCACTTCAGGTCATCCTTCAGTAACTCGCTTACACAAGCATTAGTATCTCCAACTCTGTTTCTAGGGAAACTGGTCTAAGACAATTGCTGGTGTAGATCTTCCATTATGAAATAAAAATACTATCTTTAGATGTATGACTGTGTGATCTTTATAAGCGTTTATTCTTCATGAACCTTAAAACTCTTCTCATAATGAGCTGTCTAGAAAACACGGAAATGAGAAAGCAAAATGAAGTTGCTGAAATAAACTGAGTTTTATATACATAGCTATGCGATGAACATAGTATGAGTAATTAATTACAATCTCCATGGAATTTCAGAAATGAAGGTGCTGTTTTAAAACTATTTTGGACTTGGAGAAAGTCCGTAAATATAAATCTAAGTTATGAGTGGTTCCCAAAAGCACTTGTAAAACTATCATGAATGAAATTAGAATTAGCGTATTCATGTCAGTTCTGGTTTGCATTTTAAACACATCCTAATGGACTCTTCACACTCCTATATGGAGGATATAAATATAGTCTCATGATTCCAGTTCAGTAACATCAATTATGCACCGTTAAGATATAATATTATCAACTCTTATTATTTACTATTACATTACCTCTCTAAATGTTCGAACAATTCAAATGATACCAAACCACTTTGCATGGTTCTCACCACAACATCATCAAGCACAAACCAGCCACCATCTCGACTTCTGAATCCTAGTAATTTCAAAGATTCACAGGCATTGCTCCCAGGTTTTCTTACGGAAACACATTTTGTCCTGTATAATGGTAGCAGAAGAGAAATTGGTGACATTTACATAGCATGAATCATATTTAACACATTCATTCTCTCACTAAATGAGTAATCCAGTAATTATCCATTAAGCAAATACTACATGCCAGTCATTATGCTATGCACCAGAATACAAAGATAAGAAATTCATAGTCCTTGCCCTACAGAAGCTGAAAGTATTATAGCATTCACTTGACTACTAGCCAAAAGGTCAGCAGTTTGAATCCATGCGGAGGTGCCTGGGAAGACAGTTCTGGCAATCACTTCCAAAAGGTCATAGCCTTAAAAACACTATGGAGCAGTTGTACTTGCACACATGGGGTCGCCATGAGTCAGAATCAACTCAACGACAACTAACAACGTCTAATTACAGCACAATTAATGTGAGTGCTAATTAAAGGAATGTACAGTGGTTTAGGAACAGAAGGAAGTGTTCTGGGAAGCTTGTAAAGTGCAAATACTGATATTCGAGATGAGCTTTGGAAAATGAGAAGCATTCTACTAGTGTCAAAAGAGGTTAAAAGGAACACAAAAAAACATTAACAAACTTGCTCATGTAAACCAGCATAGCTAAGAATGGTGTTATTGCATAATAGTTAAAACCACAGGTTCTGAAGCAGGACTACCTAAGTTCAGATCGTGAGTGGTTATATAATATGAGACTAATAATAGTACCTACATCACAGGATTTAATGAGTTAAATATTTATAAAGCACTTGTAATTATACAGTGACCTGTGAGAACCAGAATTCAAGGGGACTGCCTTGTTTTTCTGGGACTCATAAGTTTTTCACTTTTGAGAAAGTGCAGTCCTGTCACTTTTCTATCACTTGTTTTAGTGGAAAATATTTGAATCTACCTTCTCTTACAGATTTCTGCCTTACACAGTTTCTGGCTTTGGCAGGTCTTACTGTAGCATTAGGAGTATTAAGGAGCTTCGCTGGTGTAAGTAAGTGATTTCCAATCTGTTGCTAACCGAAAGGTTTGTAGTTCAAACCCACTCAACATCTCCACCAAAGAAAAGATCTGGTGATCTGCTTCCGTAAAGATTATGGCCAAATAAACCCTATGGAGCAGTTCTACTCTGTCACATGGGGTCACTATGAGTCAGGGGCCAACTTGACAGCAGCTAACAACAACAGCGTAAGTGGTATTAATATTCTCATCTTTTTCCTACAGCAGACATATCAGTCAATTAACTTTTCTTGTCTAACCCTTCTTCTTGCTTAACCCACCCTACTTAAAGGCCCTGAAAGAGACTTTGTATGAGCTATGTGACAATTTCCCACAATCAAATCTGATTTTACTAATAGTAGACCAATTTCTAAAAGCCAGCCAATTTGATTCTGTCTCTTTGGAATTGTAATTTATAGGCCAAGAGACTCTGACTTATAATTGTTATTTAGCTGCCTGTGGTGGCCTAGACCATAAAAATAAATAATCAGAAAGGTTATTAAGAAAGGAAAAAAGGAACAGATGCTAAGATAAAAAAAAAAAGGAGACAATCAAATTGAAAGAAACCACGTACTCTTCGGGGAAAAGAAGTTTTCTCTTTTCCACTGAGGTTGGAGTTATAAAGATGTATCCATATTGCCGGTATGAGGGACAAGCATAACAAGAGAGTACAGCTGGCACACAGGAAAAAAGAAAGGAAAGAAGAAGAGAGATTGAGTTCTTCCTCATTCAAGAAAAATCTAAAGATAGACATATTTACTGGTATACAATTTATATGACCACCATTCATCTGTCAGTTTCTCATGCTGTGGTGTTTTGTGGGTTGCTGTGATGCTGGAAGCTATGCCACCGGTATCTCAAATACCAGCAGGGTCAGCCATGGTGGACAGGTTTTGTAGAGCTTCCAGATTAAGCCAGACAAAGAAGAAGGATCTGGCAATCTACTTCTAAATAAAATTGGTGAGAGAAAACCATGTGAATAGCAGTGAAACGTTGTCTGATGTAGTGCCAGAAAATGAGACCCTCAGATTGGAAGACACTCAAAATATGACTGGAAGAGTTGCCTCCTCAAAGCAGAGTCGACCTTAATGACATGGATGGTGTAAACCTTTCAGGGCTTTCATTTGCTGATGTGGCACAACTCAAAATGAGAAGAAACAAGTGAAAACATCCATTAATAATCAGAACACAGACTGTACGAAGTATGACTCCAGGAAAATTAGAAGTCATCAAAAATGAAACAGAACACACAAAGATCAATATACTAGGCATTAGTGAGCTGAAATGGACTGGTATGGCTGTTTGAATTGGACAATCATATGGTGTACTATGCAAAGAATGACATATTGAAGAGGAATGGCATCGCATTCATTGTCAAAAAGAACATTTCAAGATCTCTCCTGAAGTACAACTCTGTCAGTGATGGAATAATATCCATATGCCTACAAGGAAGACCAGTTAATTTATGCACAAACCACTAAAGTCAAAGATACAGAAATTAAAGATTTTTACCAATTTCTGCAATCTGAAATTTATCAAACATGCAATCAAGATGTATTGATAATTACTGTTGATTGGAATGTGAAATTTAATGAAGAAGAAGAATAAATTGTTGGAAAATATGGCCTTAGTGATAGAAAGGACACTGGAGATCACATGATAGAATTCTGCAAGACCAATGACCTACTCATTGGAAATACCTTTTTTTCAACAACATAAACGGTGACTCTGCACATGGGCCTTGCCACATGGAATACACAGGAACCAAATTGAATACATCTGTGGAAAGAGATGATGGAGAAGCCCAATATCGTCAGTCAGAACAAGGCCAGGGGCAGACTATGGAACAGATCACAATTGCTTACATGCAAATTCAAGTTGAAGCTGAAGAAAATTAAAACAAGTCCACGAGAGCCAAAAAACGACCTTGAATATATCCTACCTGAATTTAGAGACCATCTCAAGAAGAGATATGACACATTGAACACTAATGATGGAAGACCCGATGAGTTGTGGGATGATATCAAGGACCTCATACATGAAGAAAACAAAAGGTCATTAAAAAGGCAGGTGCCTTAAGCTGGGTTCTCTAGAGAAGCAAAACCAGTAAAGCATATAAATATGTATATATATATATAGAGAGAGAGATTCGTGTCAAGGAAACAGCTCATGCGATTGTAGAGGCTGAAAAGTTCCAAATCCATGGATCAGAATAGAGGATTCTCCTGATTCACATAGCCACAGGGGCTAGCACGCCCAAGATGGGTAGGTGCGAAAGCAGGGCTCTTGCTCACAGGCTGTGAAGATCCACGAATCCCAAGAAAGGCAGGTAAGCTGCTAGCTCAAGTCCCAAGAATTGGAGGCCAGATGAACAAGAGGAAGCTGCAAGATCCAGAACAAGCCAAAAACCTTGGCAACTTGACCAGGAAGGAAGTAGGTGGCAGAGAGTGGAGACATGAAGGCTGAGGGGGTGGTGAGCCACTGGTACCCCACTGGTACCATTCAGCAGATTCCATCACTGGGGTGATCACATATCAGATTTCAACAGGGAAGTGATCACAATATTATATAACTGCCAAAACCCTGAGAATCATGGCTCAGCCAAGCTGACACACAATCTTAACCATCACAAGAGGAAAGAAAGAAAAGACGAAAATGGATGTCAGAAGAGAATCTGAAACTTGCTCTTGAATGTAAAGCAAATGGAAGAAATGATGAAGTAAAAGAGCTAAACAGAAGATTTCAAAGGGCAGCAAGAGAAGACAAAGTAAAGTATTAAAATGAAATGTGCAAAGATCTGGAGTTAGAAAACCAAAAGGAAAGAACACACTTGCCATTTCACAAGCTGAAAGAACTGAAGAAAAAATTCAAGACTTAAGTGTTTTACCATTTCAGGAGATAGCATATAATCAAGAACCAATAGTATTGACAGAAGAAGTCCAAGCTGCACTAAAGGCATTGGCAAAAACAAGGCTTCAGGAATTGAACAAATACCAATTGAGATGTTGCAAGAAAAGAATGCAACGCTGGAAGCACTCACTTGTCCAAGCCAAGAAATTCATAAGACAGCTGCCTGGTCATATTTGTGCCCATTCCAAAGAAAGATGATCCAACAGAATACAGAAATTATCTAACAATATCATTAATATCACACGCAAAAAAAGTTTTGCTGAAGATAATTTAAAAACAGTTGCAGCAGTACATGGACAGGAAACTGCCAGAAAATCAAGCCGGATTCAGAAGAGGACATGGAACAAGGGACATCATTGCTGATGTCAGGTGAATCTTGGCTGAAAGCAGAGAATACCAGAAAGATGTTTACTTGTGTTTTATTGACTATGAAAAGACATTCGATCGTAGAGATCATACCAAATTATGGATAACATTGCAAAAAATGGGAATTCCAGAATACTTAATTGTGCTCATGTAAAACCTATATACAGACCAAGAGGCAGTTATTCAAACAGAAGAAGGGATACAGTGTGGTTTAAAATCAGGAAATGTGTGCGTCAGTGATGTATCCTTTCTCCATACTTATATTCAATCTGTATGCTGAGAAAATCATCCTAGAAGCTGGACCATATGAAGCAGAACATGGCATCAGGGTTGCAGGGATACTCATTAACAACCTGCAACGTGCAGATGATTCAGCCTTGTTTGCTGAAAGCAGAGAGGGCTTGAAGTGCTTACTGATGAAGATCAAAGCCCACAGACTCCAGTATAGATTATACCTCAACATAAAGAAAACAAAATCCTCATAGCTGGACCAATAAGCAACATAATGATAAAGTGAGAAAATATTGAAGTTGTCCAGGATTTCATTTTACTTGAATCCACCATTAAAGCCCATGGAAGCAGCAGTCAAGAAACCAAATGACATATCGCTTTGGGAAAATCTGCTGCAAAAGACTTCTGTAAAGTGTTGAAAGCAAAGCTGTTTCTTTGAGGACTCAGGTGTGCCTGACCTAAGCCATAGTATTTTCAATTGCCTCATGCGAAAGCTGGACAATAAATAAGGAAGCCTGAAGAAGA